GAGCTGCTGCTGAAGTGCAAGCCGCGATGATCGAACCTCTCACTATAACGTGGATGGTGCCCCAGACCAGCCTCTCTTCCGGAGGCTGCCTCTGTAACTGCTCAGCCGGCCTGCTGTTGGACTCAGGAGCATCCTTACCGTGCTCCCCTTGCCGACCTGCTTTATTATTATTATTGTTGTTTTGTACAAAGTTCCTTAAATATCCGCGATGGATGAGTTCTTCAATTTCGTTGCGGAGATTTTTACAATTTTCGGTACTATGACCGTGATCTTTGTGAAAGCTACAATATAGATTCTTATTTCTCTCATTGGGATTTCCCCTCAAACGGGGTGGCCATTTCACATACGGAGCGTCCTTGATCGCCATCAGGATTTTGTCCCGCTTCATGTTCAGTGGGGTGTAGTCAGTTCGGTCCGCTGCAGGAGTTCAGAACGACTGACCTGACTTTGCCTCCTAAGCGGCATCCTTTTTCTTTCGGCTGTCCCCTTGGCTGGAAGGCTCTCCTTCCCTCTTCCTCTTTTCGGGCGCGCTCTTGCCCTTCTGGTTGATCTCTTCTTCGGTGGCTATGAACTTGTCCGCGAGCTTAAGAAATTCAGTTATGGTCGCTGGTTGGTTGACGACCATGTGCCATTTGAACTCTTTGTGCGTCACGCCTTTCTTAGTTGCTGCGAGGCGCACGGCGGGGTCCAGGCATGGTATCTGCATGCAAGCACCGTTAAACCGCTTGATGTAGCTCCGGATGAACTCTCCCTCTCTTTGCACTATGCTAAGGATACTCTCTTCAGTTTGCGGACACCGCTTGCTGGTGATGAAGTGGGACGTGAAGGCTTGCGCAAACTGCGCCCAACTTCTTATCGACTCAGGGGCCAAGTTCCGGTACCACGTATGGGCTGCTCCTCTAAAAGTGGTGGAGAAGGCCACACACATGCACAACTCACTGGCTCTTTCTAGGTTCATCTGCGATTGGAAAGCATCTATGTGATCATTTGGGTCGAATGACCCGTCGTACTTATCAAGAGGGGGGAGCTTGAAATCTTTAGGCATTGGGACTGTTAGGAGATCGGGAGATAGGGGGGATTGAACTAAAAGGTTGGGTGCCTTGACCTTGCCCGAGCTTACCTCTTCTTTGCCTTCGAGCTTAGGTAGGTCGTGGGTGGCAGACCGGCGAGCTTGGTGGCGGCGTCTCTGCTTCTTGGCGGGCTCGACATTCGTGCTGCTTACTTCTGTACTGTCGGGGATGGTGTGTGCAGGTAGCAGCTCAGGCCGCTAGTGATGGCTACGAATAGAGGGCTCCTGCGGCCAGGATTTCGAATCGGTTTTCCAGGAATGGGGTACCAGGCCTTGAGGGTTGAGGCAACGTGGGCCTGACGAGTTGAGGTCCTCCCGACCTGGCTGCCCGTGGCGAGGTCGGAGCGACCGGTCTTTCTTGTCTGTCGCGGGAGGAGGCCTGGCTCCTTGGAGGGTTATGGGGGGCCTTTCCTTGGCGAGATGGGTGCTCTTCCTGACGGCGAGACCTAGCTCGCTGCGAGACTGGGTGCCGAGTTGGAAGCTGCTATTGCTGAAGCTGAGGTTGAGGTAATTGGGGAAACTGCTGCTGATACTGATACTGGGAGACCTGGTGCAGCACATGTTGTTGATAGAGCTGAAATTGTTGGAACCGTTGCATTTGGACTTGCATGGCCCGCATGCATTGCATCAAGTCCTCCAGTTGGTTCGGGCTGGCTGCTGGGGGCACAACCGAAGGTTCGGTGAAGGTCGCTCCGACTGTAGCAGGGAGCGACGCGACGATGGGTGCCATTGCAAGAGGCACATTCAAGCTAGGGATTCCGTCCACCGAGAGGGGGACAATGAACTGTCCAATGAGTAAAGAGGCGTGAAAGTTTGGAGAAAGGCTTTTCAAAGCGTTTCCCACAGACAACGCCAAATGATGGTGCACAATCCGGTCACTCCTAGCTAGCACTCACGTGGCTCCTGAGAGGTACCTGAGATGAGAAGAAAGAAGAAGAACTCCCGGGGGGTTTTCCTGGTGGGAACACTCCGATGATTAAGTCAGTATTCTGTGCGAGAAGCAAAGGGAAAACGAAGGCTAAGAGCGCAGATTGCGCAGGTGGTTCGAATATACCTTGTTCCTTGAAAATCAGCTTCTTATAACAGAATTCTGTTGCTTCAGGCCCTCTGGCTTCTGACAGGGCAGGTATAACCGCCACTGTCAGTTTGCCACAACCGTTACAAGCAAGGTTGAGGTGGCACGCGCGGGACCGTCGTTGCAGGGCACATGCCTGTCAGGTGTAAGGCACTTTCTAAAGGTAGCAGGCGTGACGCTGTCTGACAAGGGGCATGGTTGTTGTCCCCAGATTTTTCGGGTATGGTGGTCGGGCAGGAGACTGCCGAACTACCCTTTCGCGAGTTACCCTGTGCCGGGCTATCCCATAGGCGGCGAGCTGCCTGTGGCAAGCTATGCCGAGCTACCTGGCCCGAAGTGTTTTCACTCTAGGGTGTCTAAAGGTGGGTCGGTGAGCTCTCGTCGGGGAGTGGTCCGAAGTCCAGCGGGAGGAGCTCGGGTATAGAGAGAGGTCAGGGTCCCCCGACCTCGGGGTATCCCGAAGTGCCTTAACCTTGGGGAGGAGACACAGGCAAGACGGCTTCTGACGAGTAGTTTATCCGTCCAGTTGCCGAGCTCAACTCGATGGGACCCTCCCCTCGAGTCGTGGTCATGTCAGTTGCACTGTCACGCTGAGTCACTGTTTAAGCAAGGTCACACCCACGTGTACCCGTACTGCAAGTTCGGGCCAAATCACCCTCCATCATCATCCAACCCATATCCACCCTCTCAAAACTCTCCACCCAATTATGTAAATATACAGTATATTTATTAGGACAGGAATGTGGCCATGGGCATGATACAAATTAGGGTACAAGCCGCACAACAGCGACGGAAGCCTTTCTGGGGCTTTACTGGTAATGGTTGAAGTGGGTAAACTGAATGACGTTTTGCCGTGTTTTAGTGATAAAATATTTAAATAAATAAATAATTCAGTGGTGCAGTAAGCAATCCAACTTCAGCTTCAACCATTAAAAAACTAACAGCCTTATTCATAAAAAGACAACAGATGTTGCCTACTTCAGCTGTTTTGAAATGGCCCCTTGCTTCGGGGGGCACTGAATGCATGTAGATAAGTTGTCTACTTGTCAGAATATTGATGCCTACAGAATTTGGATTAATTGAACGCGATAGCTATGGAACCAATGATAATGCCCTCTGCCAGAGGGGCTTGACATGGAAAATTATCATTGATTCTACACCCTGCTGTTGCTTACAGAAATTTTGGTTGGAGGGCTCAAGTCTGAAAAAGGTGGACCTAGTCACCATAGGGGCCTGATGTAAGGAATGACAACCACCAGCCAGTTCGGATCTCACAACACATCCCGGCCTCATATCAAGAACATCTCCTGTATTTTGTATTATTATTCATGGGGAGATATTCCCAATACATGGTGGGATGGGACTGTGCAATGGGCTCTATGTGGAGCAAATCCCAATTTGCATTTACGGGACCTTAACTAACAAGAGAGCCTGAATCTCGAAAGCAAAAACTCTGCACAGAACATCCAGCCACAAATGGGGAATATCTCCCACATACATAAATATTGGATTGTATTTTGAGAAAATTAGTGGTCCACGTAGTTACTTGATACAAGAAAAGATATGTTTTCATGTCAATTGGCAAATCGAGTGAATTGCGGCATTGAAACAACTGGGGACATACAAATATTGATATGCACAAAGGGACAATACGTATAAATAGAAGTTGCTTTAGACTTTCAAGTTTCACGCTTGAACGAGGCTTCCCTGGGAAGGGTATTAACTGTCCTAGATCCTTGTATTTAACGCATATCGGTGACACTGAAAACCAATACGTATTGGTCAATTAAAATATGCTGCAATATTTTGAACCTTGATAATTACGTTCCTAGGTTGTTCAACCACAGTCATTCTAGATTCACAAGTATTATATAGTCCCAACTCCAAACTCCCAATGCAACCCATAACGTTATCATACCCACATCAGGGCGCTCTTGGCATATTCGCCAAGCAACTTAACAAAGGGACAAATCGACACTGATGCAATGGCGCAAACCCTGTTTTTTTTTTGACAGTGCATTACCTTAACATGGTTTCCTGAGCAAGTAGGAAAACGCTTGGTTGATAAAAAACGCAAGAGAATAGAAACTCAAATTCAATAAAGTAAAATTGAAAAATGTCCAAGACAGAAGGAAATTGAAAGAAATGAATGGATAAAAAATATCACCCAACTCCTGGATTCCATACAGGGTACGATTGAACTGATCATTCAAGTGCACGGAAGACCACCAAGTGGACCAATAAGGAGGATTTAATGCAAGGTGAAGATTTAAAAGCCCCAGGTCTTAGATACAACCAGCTAGAGGCTAGCTGGCACCTTCACTGACCCAACTAGCTAGGATAAGGCTTAATTGGGTTGAATTGTGCCCAGTTGCAGGCTATACATACCATGAAGGCATGAACAAAGAATGCAAGAACTCAGTTCCAGTATGCTTAAACAGTTCTAAGAATATTATTAGGCTGGCCATTCAGTAACTAACTGTAAATGCTTCCCTTAGTCAATTATATATATTCCCTTTGTCAATTATTGAGCATCTTATGCGACTGTGTTCCATTTGCTTCATGTGGTATTCAGGCAACTAATGCTATGGAGGTGATTCAGGAAATAAGAGTAACTATGACGATGGATAAGGGGATACTGAGAAGAGAACTATAGCTGTGAAAAAAGGAACTATTATGGTGAAAGATAAAGGCAAAGGATCAAGCAGAATGCCAGTAATGATTGGTGAACTACAGCCATTCTGCGCATGAAAAAATGGGATAGACGAAAACTTAACAGGCTTTTCTGTTTGTCAGGAGGTAAAGAGATGACATGTATTGCAGCCTTGGTGCCAATTTTCCCAACAATAAAGGGAATATCTGATGAAAAGACAAATTAATTTAATCATAGTGATAACAAATTATGAATATTTACAATATCATAAGGTTACAAGTTGATCATATTGGATTAACTATGTACCTCAGATTCCAGAACGTAATATTTTTACATCCAAGCTGCTTTGGTCATCATTGCATTATGCTAGGACACTGCCTTCAACATTTGATGCATTTCTTACTCCAACGGGACCTGCAGAAAATCAACAACAGAGAACTGAAACCTGAGTTTTCTGAGGACTTGCTACAGAACGGATCAAATGCAAGGTATCGGCAGCTGGACCTTCTAAGGAAAACATAGCAAAATTAAATAAATATGGCCACATAGGTTTATATGCACCTTTAACAGCCATTCAAATTACATCTGAACCTAATGAAAAGAGTAAATGAAGCCTAGGCATAAATAGAACCTTGATGGATAAAATAAGCTTTTTTTTTTACCAATTTGATGGATAAAATAATCTTTGGACAGTTACAAAACAGCATGTCCAAAGGAACCTAGGAGTAGCTCCAATAGGTGATAAAATGAGATAAAGTAGATTGAGATGGTTTTGGTCATGAGCATAGAAGACCATTTACAGCACCTGTAAGAAAAAGTAATATATTACAAGTTGAAGGGGCTAGAAGAGCTAGGAGCAAACTGAAAAGGACTTGGGTGGAAGAAATAAGAAATGATTTAAGCACCCATAATGGATATGACACTGAACAGAATGGAATGGTGAAACAGGATTCATGTAGCCAACCCCATATGGTTAGGACAAGGCTTGGATGATGAGGGTGATGATGGATAAAAGAATCTTAACAGCCTTACGTTAAATTCAATCACAGTGAAAGACATCTATTATTGTTCTCAATAGTGAACATGCCATATTAAATATCAGTAGTAGTAATACATCACTCTTCTATTATTCATCAAAAAAAATCATCAGTCTCCTATGGAAATCGGATACAATTTAGTAGGCTAGGATGTTGACATGTTGTAATCTTATCTCCATTTTGTAAGAAATATTAAGACTTTTATTTCAGATCAATGTTTTAAAACACAGAGGCGTGATATGAGGCATTCCACTACTTAGACACACGAGGCAAAATTCAAAACGTAAGAGGTGTAAGCCTCCCGAACACAAGGAGGCTTAAGAGGAGGGGGATGAGGAAGGAGGATATTTTTAATAAAGATGTTTTATATTAAGAAACTCTGCCAGTGTGAGCTTGTCTTACACTGCTGGTCCCAAGCCCGGATAAAGGAGGGTGTGTCAGGTTGGCAGCCGACACTAAAACTTTTGCCAAACTCTAATGACATGGTAGCCAACCCTAAATAGTTGGATAAGGCATGGAATGAATCAGTTGCTTGCCTCCACTTTGACAAGACCCCCCTGCACAAAAAAAAAAAGAGGTGCACTGGAAAGGGGTTGGGGGCAAAGCCCCCTTCCCGAACTTTCTTTCCCCTTCTCTTTCCTTCCCTTTCCTTTTCTTTTCTTTTTTTTCTTTTACTTTTACTTTTACTTTCCCTTTCCTCTCTTTTCTTTTTTTTTCTGTATTTTTGTGTGAGGCGCATGAGGCATACACCTCTAGAGCACCTCATGCAGAAGGTGTATGAGGTATATACCTCTTGCACCTGAGGTGTATGCCTCAGAGGCATCAACACCCCAGGGCATTCTGGGGGCACCTCGCCTGGAGGTGTGCGTCCAGGCATACACCTCCCACACCTTTTAAAACATTGTTTCAGATTAAATTGTTGAAAACCAATGCCTGTGTCTATACAGCAGGTAACATCACTTGGTGCAATTATAAAATCTCAGATTGAAAAGCATGAGAATGTAGGTTTGAGCCTTGAGATCAGCTCATCAGCCACTTCATGCAAGAAAATGCTGAAGGTATCCAGTCCACCCCACCCCACCAAAGGCCATGGATAGCTGGAACCAAAATTGGGCAATGGTCCCTTTTGTACGTCTATATGGTAAAACATATATTCAGATCTTAAAGCATTACGTCCATTTTTTATTAAAAAGAACCAACATTGGGCGATCACCATTTCAAATATTATCTTAGGGTATGCCTATATCTATTTAGAGAACCATATCAAGTATTCCAAAGTTAAAAAAAAAGAACAGAGAAATATAGAAGTTTTACCTCTTTTCTTAAGCTTATTGCGGAAGCTCCTTTTCCTACTGAATGCTTTCTCCTGCAGACATAAATGCAAATCAAATTCATCAGTGACTTCAGACTATACCATTTACTCAAGGATAAGAAGGGATTTAATTTATTCGGTGACTTTCTTTTGCAGAAACTCTGTGGACCAGTTTATTATCAGTGACAAGCAGCAAGTTGTTACATGATTACACATAGTAATGCACAGTTTCCATTATATCAATATGCCTTTTGAGGTTTGCCTGATTAAAAGGTTGAAAAGAAAAAACAACTTATACATGATTACAAAGAGAAATTCTGTAATCAGAAACTACAATAAAAACACAATGTCCTGAAAATAATTTTTGAGAATTACCACAGGTAAACCCAGATTTCCTGCTTGACGCACTGCTGCAACAAGATCCCGGTTGGACTCAGTATATAAACTTGTAACAAGTCCAAATTGACCAGCTCTTCCAGTACGGCCAATCCTATGCAAGAAATCTACAGCAGAAGTTGCAAATTCCGCCTTGTATTATGTAAAACACAAATAACATGAGTTAGAGTAGTACAATGCAATTGTAAAAAAGGAAACTAGATGATACTATCTCTTAAATCAATTTCACTGAAAGCAGATCATAGCCTAGGCTATAACAGAATCATATTCAGCCACATTGTCCATGGTCCCATGCTCTCTCATTAGACATGAAAAGTGTATCTGAATTTGATTGAGAAGTTATGCCTAGGTTACAATAATATAAGCCACCCTGAAACACAGTACAGGTAAGAAAGCCCTGACATGGGAGGTCTTAAGAGAGATGCAATATCAGAAAATACCAGAAAGTCTTAACGAAAACCATCAAGGACTTGTTAAAAATTATAAAAGAAAAACAGCAAGTTGCAGTCCCTGTTCTCCCTCATATTACCCATCAATCAGCTATCCTTCAACCATGGCTTCATTCCATATTGGGCCACACCAAGTACTCTACATTCTCTGGATAGAATTGGCATTTGATGTCCCGCTTGAACTCATCCCATGTGTCAATGTGACACTGCCCCTTCTCCATGTCTGCACAACACCACCTCCACCACAAGACAGCTATATCGGTTAAGTACCTAGTGGCAACACGTACCTTGGCCTACTCATCCCTTATGTGCATGGCTTCAAAGTACTGCTCCATGTGCCATAAGAAGTTGTCCAACGCCCGTGCATCCCTGGCACCATTGAAGTGAGGTGGCTTAGGTGCCCTTACCTTTGGCATGTCCCGTAGAGTCCCCACCTCGTCCTGTGCTAGCAGCTTCTTGCAGAGCACCACATCTGCCTTCAGCTCGTCTACATTAGCATGGACCTTGGCCAGGCTTCCCATCAGCTTGGCTTCCAGCCCTTCTCGTTCTTTGTCTTCCCCATGCCAGGCAAGATCCATGACCTCTTCCATGGTTGCCTTGAGCTCCACCAGCCTGCCCTCCAGGCCGTCAACTTGGCTGCTCATGTCTGTGAACTTGTCTTGCATGTCTCCCATGGCAAGCTCCAACATCGCCATTCTGGCCTCCAAGGCATCAAGGACGTCTCTTGAACGCTTCCTTTGTCTTCTTTAAGTGGCCCTTCTCCCGCTCCTGTGTCTGGCTATTGTCGAGTCCATCTGTCATCCTGTCCATGCACAAGCTCCCACGCGCCCCTGGCAAAGTTGCTCTGATACCACTTGTCACGACCTGACTACTCCTGTTGGCTAAGCCGTGTGGTACTCACTTGGCCCTCCAAGAAAATCAACCAAACTGCACACTCAAGACCCTTCTTGCTAGGTTGCTTAAGTGATAAGGACACACACCAAGGCACACAAGAGCACACCAAGTATTATAGGAGGAAGAGATTGTATTGCACTAGAAGAAAGCTTACAACTCAAAGAATGCTCTTACAACTTGGATGCTTGTTGCAAATGAAGGAGGGGACCCCTATTTATACACTAGCCCCCTCAAGGAATCCTCTAGAACTATGTACACTTGGCATCATCTAGAAGCACCTCTAGAACATTCTACCTTCTACACTCTTCTAGGGGATGCCCATTCCATAAGATACAAGAACACTCTAGAGGAAGTCTAGATTACTCCTAACCCCTCTAGGGTGTTCCACACAAACCCAGATTGTTCCACAAGGTTCTAGAGAGTTCCACCAACATCTAGCCCCTTCTAAACACATGGAGAACACTCCAAAACACTCTAGAACAGCCCAGAACATGCAGAATTGGCTAGGAGCCTCAGGAAACACCTAGAAAACCTCTAGCCAAGCAACCTATTATGCCACCTCGTGATACTAGGGACACCCCACCAACTAAGGCCCCATACCGGATGACACCACCCAAGTTGGAAGAGTTGAGGAAATAATTGAAGGAATTGCTAGATGCAGGCTACATCCAACCCTCAAAAGCCCCATATGAAGCCTCTGTGTTGTTCCAACAGAAGAATGATGGATCCCTCAAGCTGTGCATAGTTGAAGGGGTACTACCATCGAGTACTGAACAAGGTGACAATTAAGAACAAGTATCCCATCCCACTCATTGTTGACCTATTCAACCAACTTGGGGGAGCCAAATACTTCTCCAAGTTGGACCTTTGTTCGAGGTACTACCAAGTCCACATAGTTGAAGGGGACAAGCCAAAGAGTACATGTCTAAGCAGGTATGGCTCCTATGAGTTCTTGGTAATGCCATTTGGCCTAACCAATGCTCTTGCCACATTTTGCACATTGATGAACAAGATATTCCACCCCTACTTGGATCAATTGGTGGTGGTCTATCTAGATGACATAGTGGTATATAGCAAGACTATGGAGGAGCACGTGGGCCACCTAAGAAAGGTTTTCCAATTGCTGAGGGAAAACCAACTCTATGTGAAGAGGAAGAAATATTCCTTCGCCCAGATGGATGTAGCATTCTTTAGCCACAAGATTAGCCAAGGGCAACTGAGCATGGACCAAGTAGTGATTTAAAAGGCGCGCCTAGGCGCACAGGTGAGGTGCATTTTAGGGTAGGCACCTCACCCAGGTCCTAGGTGCAGAGCCCTTTCAAAAGCACACGCCTGGTGTGCCTAGGTGTGCGCCTCAGCCCAGGCACGTGCCTTTTGAAAATTTGACGCTTTTTTACTTCAAGAACCCCCTCTTTGGTAATGTTGTTCATTCATTCATCCTAATAAAATATCTTCTTAAAAAGCAATTAAAACTATAAAATCATTATTTTTTGTATGAAACTAAGAATTTAAGACCCTAGCGTGGACTTGTTTGGGCTTGCCTCGAGGGGCGTGGCACAAAAGTGACTCGTAGAATCAGGAATGCAATATGTCACATTAGCTACATGAAGTAATGTACTTGAGAAAAAAAGAGATTGCGGGTTTTATATGCTTGAAAATGTTTTATATGTTTGATTTTATTTTTAAATTCTCATTTGAATATGCTTTACATAGTTATGTTTATGTATTCTAATTTTAGATAATAGGTTTTTTAAAACATCTATTTTAAAATTTAAGTTTATATTTTTATTAATATTATGTTTAATATTTTTTTTTTATTTTTTGCATTTTTTGGCTTTTTAATTTTTAATTTTTGATTTTTTTGGTTTTTTTTAATTTTTGCGCCTTGCACTTTTAAAACACCAGGACCAAGCCAAGGTCAAGGCCATCTTGGATTGGGAGCTAGACAGAGCTACAATCTTTCTTTTTTTCTTTTTTTTTCTTTTCTTTTTTTTTTTAAAGAGCTACAGTCTTTCCTTGGCTTAGCAAATTACTATAGGCGCTTTATCCAAGGATACTCAAGGATAGTCGCCCCATTCACTGACTTGCTGAAGAAGAATGCTAAGTTGCATTGGACTGAGTAGTGTCAACTTGCTTTTGAGAAACAGAAGAAGGTTGTGATAGAGGAGCCAGTGTTGCACTTGCCCGACCTTACCAAGATCTTTGAAGCAAGGTTCAAAAAATCTATACGATACGCCCCGTATCGGGCGTATTGTATCGTATCTTTTGGGTCTCTATATGCCTGTTTATAGGTATTTCGGAACCCCACTATTTTCTAATGAACAATATAGGTATTAAACTCCCCAAAAACCAAATTTTGAAAAAAAAAAATCATATTTTCGTGTGGTTCAAAGTACCGATATGCAGAGGCGTATCGATAATTTGAACCATGCTTTGGAGTACAAGCATATGCCTCAAACTATGCCATAGGTGGAGTACTTATCCAAGACAAGCATCCTATAGCATATTTGTGACGGAAGCTGAATGAGGCGGAACGACTGTACACAGTCTAGGAGAAAGATATGACAGTCATAGTCCATTGCCTTAGAACTTGGCGACACTACTTGCTTGGGGGTAGGTTCACAGTAAAGACAGACAACATTGCCACCAGCTACTTCCAAACCCAAAAGAAGCCAATTCCCAAGTAAGCCCGTTGGCAAGACTTCCTAGCCAAGTTTGACATAGAGTTTGCCTATAAGCCTGGGCAGACCAACCAAGTAGTTGATGCATTGAGTCAAAAGGCCAAGTTGGCCTCATTACAGGGATTAGCGACCATTAGTGGCCCTAAGAGCCCTCTCCTAGACCGCATACAGGAAGGGTTGGAGCAAGGTGTGCTAGCCAAAGAGCTACTCAAGGCAGCCCAAGAAGGCAAGACAAGGCGATTTTGAGTGCAAGATGGACTACTCTATACCAAGGGGAATAGGCCCTACGTGCCAAAATGGAAAACCTACAAAAAGAGATATTACGAGAGTGTCACGACACTCCATGGGTTGGACATCCCAGTCAGCGTCGCACCTTAGCCTTGGTCGAAGCAACTTACTATTGGCCTCACATGGCAGATGATGTAGAGGCTTATGTTTGAACATGCCTCGTATGCCAACAAGACAAGGTGGAACAGTAGGAACAAGGCGGATTATTGGAGCCTTTGCCCACGCCTGAGCGCCCATGAGAGAGTGAATCCATGAACTTTATCTCTATATTGCCCAAGTTAGAAGGGTGTGGGTCTGTCATGGTCGTGATGGACAAGTTTTCTAAGTATGCTACCTTTGTAGCTGTCTCGACCAATTGCATAGCAGAGGAGACTACCTGCCTATTCACGAGGAACATAATGAAGTATTGGGGTGTACCCAAGAGCATCATCAGTGACCGAGACCCCCCGATTCATAGGCAGGTTTTGGACGGAGTTGTTCAAACTCTTAGGTTCGGAGTTGCGCTTCTCCACCAACTTTCACCCTTAGATGGTCAGATTGAGTGGGTTAATGCCTTATTGGAGCTATACTTGGGACACTATGTAAGTGCCAACCAAAAGGATTGGGCTAAGAAGCTGGACGTTGAACAATTCTCTTACAACTTACAGAAGCACGGGTCGACCAACCAAAGCCCATTTGAGCTTGCTACAGGACAACAACTAATGACACCACAGGTGCTTGTGGTTGATTACACAGGAAGATGAAGTGGGCTGACTAAAAGAGGCGGTACGTGGAATTCAACATTGGGGACTTGGTGCTTGTCAAGCTACTCCCTCAACAATTCAAGTCCCCAAGGAAGGTGCACAAGGGGTTGATTAGAAGAAATGAAGGATCATTCCCCATTGTCAAGAAGGTGGGCAAGGTGTCATACCAAGTTCAACTACCCTTCAGGCTCAAGATACATTGTCTTCCATGTGAGCTACGCTACCTCAAGCCATATCATAGAGACATGGAGGATCCTAGCCGAAGTGTCTCTATGAGGGTGCCCACGGTCGTGGTTACATCCTTTAACAAAGAGGTTGAATGTATCCTAACAAATCGGACTGCGAGAAGACGTGGTGTGCCACCCTACAAGGAGTACTTCATCAAGTGGAAGGACTTGCCAATGCCGTCGACATCCATCTTCCTCATAATCTTTCTCAAGTAAATATTTCAAACCAGGTTTGTTTTCTCCATATTTGAAACCAAGTTTCAATCGTTTTTTTCTTTGCTTTTCAATCTGAGAATCGTTTCAATCATTCTTTGCCCACCAGTCCTCTCCAGCTGTCCAGAGCACCGTCGTCACTCTCACAACTCATAGGTATGGAACTCTTGATCCCAATAAATTTTAATGTTGCAAGTTGAAGGTGCATGGGCTGTTACAGATGTCATTTTTCTCTCTGTTTTATTCTTCTCCCCATTTTCTCTCTGTTTCGTTCTCTCTTGATCCCAATAACTTGATTGTTACTCATGAAGAGACCTTAGAATCATCACCAGAACCATGATACCAAAACCTCTAGAATGACGCCCAACAACCAATCCCTGTTTCGAATTTTCTGGCATGTTTTAGGGTAGAAAAAAATAAACCTGATAGAGTTTTCAATTAATTCATCTGCAACGATATCAAAGACCTTCAAATAATGCATACTCAAAATCAAGAATATCTTCCAAACGCAAAACCTCAAAAGCAAAAAAAAACTCCCAAAACACTCATGACAGATTCGTTCTTCTCCAAAAACAATAGCTTCCAAAAATCAACAAAAACCCAACAAAATCTATTGGGAAATAAATCTAGTGAGATATGCCACCCCATCATCAACCCAACTGAATTGACACTCACTTTTGTAGACTTTGTACAAGTTGTCCATATGCTTTCATAGGCTATGCCAAGTTTTCCACTCACCATGTTCTTAATCGTGTCCACATAATTTTAGAATATATAAGACAAGGGTATCTTTGGCACAACAATCTTGTCCACCACCATCTCAATGTTGTATCCAAATAATGGACAAACCTTACCGTGGGTGCTAGAGTTTCCTAATTAAATTCATAGGGAGGGTTTTGCAAAACAAATGCAATGACTATTTTATCTGATCCAGAGTTGAAGAAAGAAGGTAATTCACCTGTCACTCACAATGACTTTTCAGATGTTTGGATATATTCTGTTAAAACAAATGCAACTCGTCTCACAAGGGAGGTTTTGGATAAAACACTTGAGAGAGTTTCCGTGTGGACACAGGAACTGGTCTCTTTTCTTTTATATGTATTTGATAATGTTTTAAACAAATTAGAGTGCAATGTAATTTTATTTGAACTTATATTTATTAAAATAGAAATGGTTTTATCTATCAATAGGTCAGAGAATTGATTCCAAGAAATTGGTTGCTGCCAAACGTAATTCTATTTCTAAGAAATAGGAATCAAATGACTGTGCCAAACAAGACTGGTGATTCTCAGGATGAAAATTCTCAGAATCCATTCTTTTCTGAAAGGATTCTGAGAATGAGAATCCTCAGAATTGATGTCAAACAGGGCCTTATTTGCCTTTTTTTTATCAGTAACAAGAAACTTTATTAATGATATAGGGCCTTATTTGCCAATTGGCAAAGCATAGATAACAAAAGTACCAGAATGCAAGAAGGAACAATAATTTATTTTTGGAGAAAGCAAATACCTGAATGACATGTGAAACATTTGGAATATCAAGGCCACGTGCAGCAGCATCAGTGCAGACAAGTATGCCACCCCTTTCTCGGAAATCAATCAAATTTTTTGTGCGCTCCTCCAATGAGCTGTCACTGTGGTAACAGAAACATTTGATACCAACACTGAGCAATATCTTAGCCACTGATTCAACAGCATCAACAGTATTTGCAAAGACCATGGTCAGACTTACACCAGCATCAGAACTTGATACTTTAGACTTATGACCCCGTTTCACAGCATCTATAAGAACATCTACCTGTGTATCAACTGTAACCTCTATCCACCTCTGATCCAATCTGAAATAAAAACAGATGCAACCATGTCATCAACATGCATGAAGAAATAGATAAAATTCACAAAAAAATTGTACATGTCTACAAACAAAATCTGCACAAAGTCCAAGGATCACATGTCAAAAACAATACATTTGGAAGAAAATGACCAAGCTGTGTAGTTTTTTTTTTTTTTGATAAGTAGATCAAGTTGCAGAGTCACCCCATCTTTTGTGGTTTGCTTGTCCTTCTAGGTTCCAACTTGGGTAAGTTTTGCAGCATAGATTACAAAAATGCATGTTTTACAGCATAGCTTTCAAGGCACCGAGGTGAGGCTAAGTGAGGAACCTTGTTACCTAGGCACCTAGGCAACACCAAGCGATGGGATTTTTTTGAGTAAAAACCATGAATTCTAGGGTAACTCCCTAGGTTCCATGGCAAGCAGCAACCATCTTTCACTATTAATTGTCTATAATAAAATATATAGGCTTCATCTAAAACATAGAAAAGAAACATATTTTATTCATGAAAAAATGTAAGAAGAAAATAAACTTCAGAAAATAGAGAGATTGAGCCTGTATTTTTGTCTTAGGAAAATCAATATGTATTAATTTTTTTTATAATTGAATGAAATTTATTAATCAGCAAAGATAAATAGTACAAGGTCCCCAAGGAGAGACACAAGATGCAACCTCTCCAAGCTAATGAAGTACAGCTTTCCAATTTACTAGAACAAGTTACAATGTAGCACAAAAAAGACCTTCCATGGAAACCCCTTTTTTGGCCAAAGAGTGAGCATAGTATTAGCCAACCTGCTTACCCATTTAACCTCAACTCTCATATTACTAGTTAACCACTTTACTTTTTTGATGAGGTTTTTGTAGCCCCAAATGGCAGCATCCGGGTTTAGAAGCCACCATGTTACCACCTGAGAATCCCCTTCAACTAGGAGATGTTCCACCCCAAGCTGATTGGTAATCTGGATCCCTTGTACAGCAGCTAGTATTTCTGCCCTTGTTGAGTCCCCCACTCCCACCTGTCCTAAGAATAAAGAAATAACGTTGTTATCCTTATTCCTTAGAACACCCCCTATACCCGAAGGCCGAGGGTTACCGTGGCTGCTCCCATCAAAATTTAACTTGATGACACCTCTTGGAGGCGGATTCCATTCTAACAAACTTCTAATCTTCTTAGTGGAAGTATTAGCTATTACTGACCAATTCCTCCACAGGTCATCAAAAGAGAAATCAGCAAATATAGCCAAGGTTTTTAGCCAATGGATTGCTCTTGTTAAAATACGTCCTTCACTTCATCCAAGCTTCTTTCCTTCTCTAAGAAGACTCTTGCATTCCTTTCCTCCTAGAGAGTCCATAAGGTAGCTGCCCTACTACATTTCCACATGAACTTACCTCTTCTTGTGTGCCACACAACAATAGATGGGTTAAATAACAAACTCAAATCAGATGGCGGAGACCACCTACCTCCAAATAAACTAAGGCTCCAACTCCATAAGGCCATAGCAAAGGAACAGGAAATCAGCAAATGGAAACAGTCATCATTCTGGGCCTTACACAAGGAACACCAGTTTGGGGAAAGACAAAGAAAAGGTCCCTTTTTCTACAAGTTTTCTATTTCTCATAGTAAACCTCCCAGTAGAACACAACAATTTTTGGAGGAATAGGTCTCACCCAAACTTCTTTAACAGGGAACACTCGGGGACTAGGGTTGGAACTAAGGGATTTCAGAAAATAAGTAAAAGTAAAGGTACCTTTTGGAAGAAGAGTCCAAACTCTTCTATCAAAAGATGTGGGGTCCAAACAAACTAACTCAAGTAAATGAAGCAGCTTAGTGACATAAGTCAATTCACCATCCCTTAATCCCCTACGAAATTCAAAGTCCCAATTTAAAGACAAAGGAATAAATGGGTTCGAAAGAAACTTAGCAATTGACTCATTTTTGTAAAGGAAAAGAGAGTAAAGCAGAGGGGACCAATTGGGTTGATTACCCACCCAAAATCCTCCCAGAACCGAATAGAATCACCAGAGCAAGCATCATATCTGATAAACCTGAGGAAGCGAGGGAGAATGTACAAGCATCCAAGAGCACCATGTAGAAAAAAATCTTGACGATTAAGTGAGGCAATCCTCCATGAGTGCCTTATCACCAAGGCGTCACTCTAAATGTATTACCTGATTTTCATAGTAAGATAGTATATCCTAGAAGTAACCTCTATTCTATATGATAGCAGGTTGTCTTGCATCATTTCGTGTATGATTAGTAGACATTCCTTCATTGGCTTATTTGGTTTCTATTTGATTAATAGCAGCATGTTTGTGTTTTGTTGGATGGTCAGTTGTAAACATGGTTCAAAGTAATGATACACCCATGTGCATTGGCAGAGGTGTATCAGTACTTTAAGTGATGCACTTTTTTTTAATTTTTTTCAAAGATACAATATAATACACCCGATACAGGGATATCATATCGCTATTTTGAACCTTGGTTACAAGCATCCAAGGCGTCACCCAAGCATGTACTCACTAGGTGATTTGGTTTATCCTTTGACCTATAGCATTGTGTAAATTATTTTAGAGGCCAAAAGAAAGTGTAATGATTAGGTGAACTCACTCTACATGTTAGGCTATCGTTGTATTTCTTGATATTCCTAGTAAGGTATTGAATCCTAAAGGTAGTCTCCATTTTATCATATGTATCACTTGGGGTAGCAATAACATACATGCCTTAGTCCCTCACTGGGTAATTTCGTCTTTCATTAGATTGATAAGTTGTCTAGAAGGCTGCAAAAAAGATTGGATAGGCTGACTCTAGTAAACCACTTCAAATCTATTTTTAGAAAGCCTATGAATGGGAGAGTGTGGTTGGAGGGATTGGATAGGCCGACTCTAAGTGCAGAGAAGAGAGAGTGGTTAGAAAAAAGGTTTGATATGGAGGAGGTAAAGGAAGTAGTATTCTCAATGGATAGGACAAAAGCTTCGGGTCCAGATGGGTTCA